ATAGTCCAGAAGTAATACACACAAATACAGTCAAATTAGTTTTTACAAAAGTGCCAAAGCATTCAATGGAGATAAGCTAGTCTAAATGATGCTGGACCAACTGGGCATCTATTTACAGAAAAATGAACACAGACACAGACCTCATACCTTACACAAAAATAAACTCAAAATGGATCAGAGATCTAAATGCAAGCAATACTATAAAACTCCTAGAAGAAAACATAGGAGAACATTTATGTGACCTTAGGTTTTCTGATGAGTCTTTGGACACAATAGCAAAAGTATAATCCATAAAAGAAAAAATTACCTAAAATTTATTAAAATTAAAAACTTCTGTCCCAGCTGGTCTGGTTCAGTGCATAGAGCATCGGCCCGCAGACTGAAGGGTCTTGGATTTGATTCCAGTTAAGAGCATGTACTTTGGTCACAGGCTTGGTTCCCGACCCTGGTCTCTCTCACATCAATGTTTCTCTCTGTGTCTCTCCCCCTCCCTTCCACTCTCTCTAAAACTCAATGGGAAAATATCCTCGTGTGAGGATTAACAACAACAACAAAATTAAAACTTCTGCTCTGCTAAATGCACTGTTAAGTGAACAAAAAGACAAACCATAATCTGGGAGAAAATACTTGTAAACCATAAATGTGATAAAGGACTTGTATTCAAAATGTACAAAGAACTCTTAAAACTCACTATAAGCAAACAAACAACCCAATTTAAAAATACAAAAGATCTGAATAAACACACCCCATCGATGAAGAGATATAGAGGGATGCCACTACACATCTATTAGAATAGCTAATAGCCAACACACTGATAACATCAAATACTAGTGGGGATGTAGAGCAACAGGAACTCCTTTGTTGCTGGTGGGCATGCAAAATGATACAGCCACTTTGGAAGATAATTTGGCCATTTCTTACAACGCTAGACATATTCTTACAATACATCAAGCAATCATGCTCCTTGATATTCACCCAAGCTGATCTGAAAATGTATGTTCACAATTGTCAAAACCCATAGAATCTTGAAGGACAAAGAGAAAACCCTAATGTATGCAAATTTTTAAAACTTAATCGGGGTTGGTGGATCTCAGCAAGACATTTATGCTGTGACCAAAGAATCTAGCTCTATTAGAAGTATATGAAACATCCTCACTGAAGGGCATGAGCGAAAAGGTGCTACTCTACATAACGTTGGAAATAAGTGGAGTCTATAAAACTACAGGCAGAAAAAATATATACATAAGCACTGTACTCTGGTTGATAAATTGTTTCCCATAGGACAGTGGTCGGCAAACTGCGGCTGGCGAGCCACATGCAGCTCTTTGGCCCCTTGAGTGTGGCTCTTCCACAAAAAACCGACTTCTGCGCATGGGCCACGAAGTTTCAATCGCACTGTACATGTGAGCCCGCACGTGGTATTTTGTGGGAGAGCCACATTCAAGGGGCCAAAGAGCCGCATGTGGCTCGCCAGCTGCAGTTTGCCGACCACTGCCATAGGATATAGATGAACAGTTATGATGCTTCTATATACGAATTCTGATTTGAATAATTAAGTAAATGGGTGAACAGATGGTGAGAGCCAGGTTTCTCACTGTTGGAGTAGGAATTTATAGATAAGCACAGGGAGGAGGCTAAAATTACCTATGTGATAATGGATTAGTTTTAGACATTTGTGTGAACCAATGTTTAGCTTCATATAGATATAAGTGGTTAGGTATAGAGATATTTAGAAATATGTTTATATACATGGGTTAGTATTTCCTTGCTCTGTCAGCTGAGAGGGCTTAGAAGCCAGTGACAGTGAACACATCTAACAACCAGATTTTGGTTCTAATTTTGGTGTCTCCAATAAAAGGAATGAGAACTCCTTGGAGAAATGGCTAGTTTTAGAACTGGGGCAGGAAATACACAAGATGAGCCTGGAGCATCTTGTAGTGCCAGAAAGTAAGAAAGTGCTAAAACAAAAGAAAACAAAAAAAAAATAATGGGGGTACATTAAAGGGACACAGGAGCCAACTGAAGAACTCCTGATGGCCATAATTAGCACAATTTTAACAACAACAAAAAAGTATTGAATTATAAGGAAACTATAAAATAAATATTATCAGTGAATCCATACTGATATAAATAAATAAATATGAATAGACAAATCTCTCTTGCAGAAGAATTATATATAATTCCACAGACACTACACTCAGGAGATAGAACATAACTCCCCACCCCTTAGGTGTGGGCTGTGCACAGTGACTTCCTTTCAAAGTGTACATTATGGAAAGAGGAAAAGAGTAACTTTACAAACACTACCTCAGCCAGATGATCAAAGTTGATATCAACAGTGGTAAATTATGTTGATGGCATGTACCCTTGACTGTGATGTGATGAGAATTACACTTTCTTACGTGGTCTTCCTTCTCAAAACCCATAACCCCAGCCTGATCATGAGGGGAAAAATAAGACAAATCTCAACTGACAAACATTCTACAAAATACTAAACAAGTACCCATCTTTGATGTCTAAGGCATCTAAAACAAGGAAAATCTGAGAAACTGTCAGGCCAAGAAGAGCCTAAGGAAATATGATGATTAAATGTAATGTGGTATGCTGGAAGCGATCATGGAACAGAAAAAGTACATTAGGTAAAAACTAAGGAAATCTGAATACACTATGGACTTTACTTAATACTAATGGATCAATACTGGTTCATTGTAACCAATGTACTATACACATCTAAGATGTTAATAATTGAGAAAGCTGGATGTGGACTGTATTCACAACTTTTCTGGATATAGTGCAGAACTATTCTAAAATAAAAAGGTTATTTTATAAATTGGAGGATAAAAGTAAAGGAAAATAAAGCACTAACCCAGGAAGTCCAATATTCAACAAGTGGGAATGTCACAAACTCAGAAGAAAACAGAGAAATTATTAAAGAATGATAATCTTTTCCAGAAGTGAGGAATGTGAGTTTTTAGACTGAAAGGGCTTCTTGTCTAGCGTTCAACACAAATAAAAGACAATAAATAACCACACAAAGGTACATTGTAATTATATTTCTCTTCAGACAAATAGAAAACTCTAAATGCATTGGGGAAATGGGGTAGATAAAGGTCACACGCAATGGAAAAGAAATTAAAATGCCCCAAAAGTATTACTATACATAGAATGCATTGGGAAATGCCTCAAAATTCTATGGAAAAAAATTCATCCTAGCCAAACTAACAAGTATAATCAAGACATTTTTAGATGAACATGGTAGTGATAAATTCACCTCCAAATACCCTTTCTAAGGAAGCCATGGAGAATGTGCTTCACCAAATCAAAGTATAACCAAAAAGTACTAGTAGAAGACACAGGATCCAAGAAACTGGACTCCAACACAACAGGGAGACAATGGGAATACCTAGGATGATGACAAAGCAAGATCTGGGTGTAGCTGTGTAGCTGTCTTAGACAGCGCCAGTCCAGATCAGAGCCAGAGGATTTCAAGAAAACATAAGCAAACCAAACACACACACACACACACACACACACACACACACACACACACACACACTGGTAAAGTGGTGTGTGTTGAGAGCTTGTTGTAGAGCAGCAGTTCTCAACCTGTGGGTCGCGACCCCTTTGGGGGTCGAACGACCCTTTCACAGGGATCGCCTAAGACCATCGGAAAACACATATAATTACATATTGTTTTTGTGATTAATCACTATGCTTTATGTTCAATTTATAACATTGAAAATACATCCTGCATATCAGATATTTACATTACGATTAATAACAGTAGCAAAATTAGTTATGAAGTAGCAACGAAAATAATTTTATGGTTGGGGGTCACCACAACATAAGGCACTGTATTAAAGGGTCATGTCATTAGGAAGGTTGAGAACCACTGTTGTAGAGTGTGGAAGAATTATAATAGACACATAGAAAATTAAGCAAATTAACTACGGAGAGGGTATTATCAACAAAGGAAATAAAATCATACCATACTTGGATTAGCAGGAAACTATATAATAATGTAAATACTGATTCAACCAAAAATATTAATAACAATTCTAGGATTAGAAGAGTAGGAGTAGGAATGAAGGAAATGAGCTGAGATGATGGGGGTGCATAGATAAGCCAAATCCTCTCTCAGGATATTAGTTTCTAAGGGTTGCTGTATCAAATTACCACAAACTAGGTGGCTTAAAACAACAGTAATTGATTTTCTCACAATTCTGGAAGCTAGAAATCTGAAATCAAGGTGTCCACAGAGCCAAGCTCCCTCTGAAGCCTCTAGCAAAGATTCTTTCTGGCCTCTGTTGGCCCCAGGAATTCCTTGGCCTGTGGTTAGCAGAACTCCAATCTATGCCTCCATTTTCACATGACCTTCTTCTCTGCATGCCTCTATAAGGACACCAATCATTGGATGTGAGGATCCCCTTAAATCCAGGGTGATTTCAAGATCATTAACTAATTACATCTGCAAAGACCCTACTTTCTTTTTTTCTTTTTTTAAATATATTTTATTGATTTTTTACAGAGAGGAAGGGAGAGGGATAGAGAGTTAGAAACATTGATGAGAGCGAAACATTGACCAGCTGCCTCTTGCACACTCCCCACTGGGGATGTGCCCGCAACCAAGGTACATGCCCTTGACCGGAATCAAACCTGGGACCCTTGTAACCACTGAGCCAAGCCGGTTAGGGCCAAAGACCCTACTTTCAAATGAAGTCACATTCTGAAATTTGAAGTGGACATGAATTTTGGGGGACACAGTTCAATCCAGTACCATAAAAGCAAGTCTACGAATAATGCCAGAATTTTACATATCAAGAAGAAAACGTATATTCTACATGGAAATAAAAATTGCACTAAAACAATTAAAAGTGGTTGCCATTGTAGAGCAGGAATCAAGGGTGGGGAGAGATCAGATGGGGACAGCTAAGTTTTATTTCAAACTATTTAATATTATGTGACTTTCATAACTATGTATATTGCTGTTTCTTCCACAGCATAAATCACAGGCTGAGGAAGATCTTTCTTGGCCCTGAACTGTGCCATCTGGGGGAGAGAAGATGTGGTTAAAGTCAAGCTGTTCACTCCAGCGAGTCTAAATTCTTACTTGGTTTTGCTCCAGCAGTGTGCTGGAACTTCTCTGCTAGAAACCTGGACTCACAAAGGCTCTCTCATCCGTGAGTAATTGTCTAAGAGGCTGTTTTCCAGGGGTTTCCAGACTGCAGCTAAGAGGAGGGGCTAAAGCTGGTTTACAGGCCACTGCAGAGGCCACAGCTAGAACGAAGCTTTGTATGCCTGTTACCCAACGCATGAGTGGGTGCGAACCTGGGTCTCTTGGTATATTGGGTCCCACAGCTCACACAAAGGCACTTTTGTCTGTGGATAAATGATAAATTATTATTGTGGTGAGGGTGGGTGACAAAAGGGATGCTTTATTCCAGCAGGATGCTGATGTCATTTTTTTTGAGCCATCTTTTCATTTGGTTTTCTGACTTTTCTACATTGCTGCTTAGCATAAAACAGAAGCCCTTTGTGAGGAGAGCTCTGAGAAAATATAAATATAGATTTTTGACATGGATGTTAATATAGCTAAACATTTCTCTGGCAATTTTCAGAGAAGAGGAAAAAAGAGGCGTCCATGCTAGAAACCTTGCAAATGAGAATGAAGTCAAGACGGAGACAACAGGGCTAAGTGAGCAAGCAAGTCTTTGTCACTTGCCAACCCCCACAGCTGCTTAAGGAAAACTGGTCTCCCCTGAGGGAGAAAAAGGATTGCAGAGGGAACACAATTTCTTAATCCGTGACTTGTTTTTCATCTTGACTTTGCCTGGATCAGTGATTTTCGGTAAGCCTGTTCTCATGACTAATTTTGCACTAATAGAGATGAGATAGAGTAGAGAAAGAGGGGTGTTAATATTATGGTGTAAGCAAAAATTTCTTAAGGCAATTCCCAGGAAGATTATTTCTCTTCAGCACAATCTCTACCTCAGGGGCCAGCCTGAGCAAGACTTTGGAAGTAATCAAAGTTTACTTTCGACACGCTTTTCCTGCCCTTTTTTCCTGCCATTTTTCTCCTTTCCCCCGTCAGATAGCCGTTCCACTCAGTGCCTCGTGGCCATTAGGACTGCACACACACTCAAACAGGGCCTTCTGTCCCACACTAAGTCTTCCCCACCTCAGCTGCTCCATACATTTAACACATATTCATTGGGGCATAATGTACGCATGTCACCGAGAAGGTCCTGAGGATACAGTAGGATGTGGAGGACAAGGGCTCATAGGCTAGTTATGGAGACCTACAGTGCCCTGTGTTCCAGTAGGGTCCACTAACCTATGCGGAATTATGTAAATGATACCTTACTACATTATATAAATGTACCTTACTCTACATCTGAGGAGTACCTGCATTTTAAGAGGATCTCCAGAAATGAAAAACTCATCCTAAAAAGATGATTCCCCTGATGGTGGAAATTTTAGTAGGCAACAGGCTCATGAGGGAGCTATGCTAGGGCCAGAAGGTATATTTCAGAGCAGACCATGAAGAGAATTACACCAAGTCAAGCAGTCTCCACAAAACATGCAAAATTCTTGATAAAAATGTACTGACTAGCTAAGTACAAGGATAAATAGATAAGCAGAAATGGATAATGGATAAATACACAAATGGTCTGGGAAGTTTGCTGATGATGACTTAAATGACATCTCGTCACATTTTTGTTGTTGTGGTGGTGGTTAATCCTCACCCAAGGATATTTTCCCATTGACTTTTAGAGAAAGTGGAAGGGGTCGGGAGAGACAGAGAGAAACATCGATGTGAGAGAAACACATCTATCGATTGCCTCCCGCATGTGCCCCAACCAGAGCCAGGGATCGATCCTGCAACTGAGGTATGTGCCCTTGATGGGAATTGAACCCAGGACCCTCCAGTCCGTGAGCCGACATTCTACCCACTGAGCCAAACAAGCCAGGAATCATCACATATTTAATATACAGAATTGTTGACAGTATTGGAAAACCGACCAGGCCAACTGGGAACACTAAAGATACCGTGGAAATGGAAGAAAGCAGCTGTGACTGCTAGGGGTGGGAAAAATAGAGAGGAGTTTGGATATTAACTCTTACAAGCTTGAAGGAGAAGTCTTTAAGGGCTGGGACTCAGAGACTTCTGAGGAAGTCTGCTCAGCAGTTAGTCGGGCTAGAGGTGTTTGGACGAGGGGCCACAGATCTGGACTGAGACCTCTGAGGAAGGGACGTGAGTTAGCAGGGGCTGGTGTCTCTGGAGAGGTGCAATGGAGCTGGTTCTAGGAGTGTTGGGGAAAATTGCAAATTAGAATCAACTTGGCTAATGGATGGCACTGTACTCAAGGTAAAGATCATTTGCTAGGGTGATGGGAGAGGAGTGGGAAACAGGTAAGGAGGAGCCAGGCCTTTCTGCTTCCTCTAAACTTTCAGGCTCTGTTCAGTACCACCTATTGAGAGGGCCTAGCAGGGATCTAGCTGGCAAAAGAGTAGTGGGCTTTGCAGAACCTGGCCTCAGCATCATAAAGGCGAACAGAGAAGGATGTGTTTGAAGCTAAGGGACAGTAGCTTAATAACCAACACATATCTTAGATTTTAGTGTTTTCTACTTTTGTTTTTTTAGAAATCTTCTTTGCTTTCAAATAAGTGATTTAAAACTTAAAATGATATTTTTAAAAAGTTACCTCTGACTGATATAACATTCACTTTATTAGTCATCATTGTTCCACATAGAAATTAAATCCTCATTTATTGAAACAAAATATATCCATTTATTATGAGCTATTATTCTCTTAAAGAAAGTAAATATATCTAGGGAGTTGCTACTTCATTATAAGATTTGGGAGACACATTTTTCCCCAGATGGGCATGATCAGAATTTGAATTGTGTAATAAAAATGTGTAGATTTCTCACCCTGGCTGGTGTTGCTTATTGAAGGGTCTTCGGGTTTTTTTCCTGGTCAAGGGCATGTACCTCGTACCTTGGTTGGAGGTTCGCTCCCCACCCCGTGTTGGGGTGCATATGGGAAGCAACCAGTTATCTCTCTCTCTCTCTCTCTCTCTCTCTCTTTTCTCTTTCTCCTTCTTTTTCCCACTCCTTCCATCCCTCTTTTCTACTCTCTCTGAAAAGCAATAAAAAAAATATCCTCAGGTGAGGATTAACATACATACATACATACATAAGTAGATTTCTCAAAAATTGATAAATCACAGCACTCAGAACATATCAAAATGAAGTTTAAAAAGGAAATGACTCTGCCAGAGAGTACTGAGGGCTGCTGGGTACATACTCAAGTCTTTGGGGATAGATATATATTGCAAAAGCTGGTAAAACATTCCTGCAACAATGTAAACAAGAGCATCAATAAAAACTTACTGAGAGGTTACCACACGCCAGGCACTATTCTAAGTGCTTAGCATAATTTAACACATTTAATCCTCATAAGGACTCTTGAAAGCATCTTGATTTTACAGACTAATTAACTTGCCAAGGGTCACACAGCTAATTAGTGGCACAGCCAGGATTTCGACCCTACAGTCTGGCTACAGGACCCATACAGCTAGCTTCTATTCTATCAGTCCTCAACAAAGTATTCTCATGGAAATTTATATATTTCTAGAAAATTCCTAAATATAAAGCTGTCAAATGTCTTCTCTTAAAAGATAATTATAAGAATAAAGAAAACTTGCCAAGGAATAACATTGTCAGAGTGAACATTTATGAAAAAGAAACATAGTCCACATCTCCCTCAGCTACGCTACCAACCTACTGGAAGAATGGGCCCCGAACTCTGCAAGTTCTGTGCAGTGGGCGGTGCTGCCACCCAGTTCCTATAGTAACACAGGGCACAGGAACATCCAATGCAGGCCTAATATGTTATATCATTTACATATCAAATCACATCATGATATGGAAATAACAAACTTACATAAAACAAGAAACTTATCATTATCTCTAAAAGTTTATGCAGAGAATAAGAAGCCAGACTCAAAAAGAGTATATATAGCATGATCCCATTTATATGAAACTCTAGAACAAGCAAACCTAATCTATACTGATAGTTCATCATTTCTTTCAGGGACCTGAGTTTATTGACTGACAAGAAGTACAAGGGAAATTTTGAAGTGTTGTAATTGTTCTATATCTTGAGTGTCATGGTGGTTCTGTCATTTGTCAAAACTCATGGAACTTAGCCCAGCTGGCATAGCTCAGTGGTTGAGCATCAACCTATGAATCAGGAGGTCACACAGTTCGATTCCCGGTGGGGCATGCAGGAGGCAGCCAATCAATGATTCCCTTTCATCATTGATGTTTCTGTCTCTCTCTCCCTCTCCCTTCCTCTCTGAAATCAATAAAAATATATTTTAAAAACACTCATGGAACTATATACTTAGAATATATACCTTTTGCTATATGTAAATCATTCTTCAACAAAGTTTATAGGAAAAACATTACTACATCCTATTTCTAGAGGAAGAAGCTTAATTTATTCAACATATCTTTATTGAGTGCCTACTATGTCCCAGCTCTCTCCTCTAAGTTTTATATCAATAGTGAACAAAACAGATAAAGATCCCTACCTTCATGGAGCTTACATTCTAGCAGGGGGGAAAGGGGCATAAACAACAATTAGGAAAAAAATAAGGAAATTATATAGGTCTAGTCACCTCATATCCCACAGAGGAAGAGGCACGCCCCTCCAGGATAAGTAAACACGGTGGGCATAGACCTAAGCCAGGGACTGGGCCTGGTACACCTATTAGCAAAGAGGAGTGCATGTTTCCTAAAGAATTTATCAAGAATCTAACAGGGCCTCCCAAATCAATAACCAAGTGCCCAGAATTCAAGAAAATGGCCCTACAAAGAATTGCTGAAGGATCTGATGGTGATAGAGCCAAAGGCAACTGTCAGAGAGAGAGAGAAAAAATACATATATATATACACACACACACACACACACACACATACATACACTCAATATCTTTAGAGCAATATGGATGACATGGTACCCAAGGAATATAGAGCAAGCTATTATGAAAAAATAGATTTTTTTTAGACAACCAAAAGAATTTTTCTTAAAATCTCCAGAAATAAAAAATCCCAATTACATTAGCTACAACAAAAACAGCACTTCAACCAGGCTTGCAACTGGGGTTGCTAGTCACATACGTGAGAAGACACTTACATTCTAAATATATTTGGAAAAGCTCATATGACAGCAATAAAAATAAAAGACAACAATATAAAGACAACTAATACAATTAAATAATGGGCAAAGAATATGAGCAGATATTTCCCCAAAGAAGAAATTCAAATGACCAATAAGCACATGAAAGATGCTAGATATTAATCATCAGGTAATTGCAAATCAAAACTAAAGCAGACAGCTGATCGCACCACTAGGATGGCTGTGAAGATAGACAAGTGGTGGGGAGGATGTGAGGAAGTCAGAGCCCTCACACATGGCTGATGGGAATTAAAGTGGGAAGACAATCTGGCAGTTCCTTAAAATGATGAACATAGTTCCCACATAACAGCAATTCCACTCCTAAGTGTCTACATACCGAAGAGAAGTGAAAACAACTATCAACACAAAAACTAATGAGCAGATAGATAGTCACAGCAGCGTGGAAACAATTCTAAAGTAAATCAAGTGACTCAGGTACACAAAATATGGAGTATTCATGCAATGGAATATTCTTTGGAAATAATATAAATAAAGTGCCAATTTATGGTGCAAAACCAATAAATCTGGAGGACATTACCAGTCTTCACAAAGACATAGTGTTATATCATTTACATGAAATGTACAGTAAAGCCAATCC